AGTGGGATTTTGGGGGGGAGGGGCTCTCCCATGAGAGCCACGTGAACTTTCTTCACTTATTCCTCCAAAGGCTTTTTGCTGCTCACTCTCCTCCTCCTTTCCTTCACATGGCGTCCTACAGCTTAGATTGGTTGAAGATAATTGTTCTGATACTTGGAACCACAGCAGTGGTGCAAAGTCTTCTGTTTCCTATTTCTTAGGTAGAGGCGAACGCTACTCTGATCCCTGAAACTCCAGTTATCATTTCCTTATTCCTATTTCAATGTCATATGAAAGTGCTGTCCAATGGATCACACTTTGAGAAGTTCTGTTTATTTTTACTCAGAAATTGAAGCATTAATCTTGCCCGAGTCTCACCCTGAGGTATGAACACATTTCATGCCTGGTCCTTGGTGGGGAGCGCCAAAGAGCAAGCAGCGGAGAAAAACACAAATCAGCCTTCATGTAGGAGCCTCTTCCAAGCAATTACAAAACACATTCATCTCAAAGATACATAATAAATAGGTGATATTAATAAATGCTATCAACATAGACCATAAATGAGAAAGAGAATATGTTTCAAGTCCAACATTAATCTGTAGTCAAATATTACAATGTTTTATTTGTAGGTTGCAGTGTTCAAGATAATATCTCAAATAAACATATTTTGTTATGTTATTGAAATTTCTAGTGTCTCATATCTCGAGTATCATCATATAATTTCTTGTTTGAGGTATCCCCAAGAAGTTTCTGCTAAACTTGTTTTATAAACAAGAGGTTCATTTTTGGTTAAAACTACTAAATGCTGAGATAGTAAAACAACCTGTCCTAGACTAACAGCAACTTAGTTTTTCCGTTCTTTTCCATACTTATAAAGAAGCCATTTAAAATATTGACATCATCTGTCTCTGGATTTAAAACATTTTAATTAGAATAAAGCCAAGCTGAAACTTGCGGACTTATTTTCAAAATCACATTTACCTCATTCATTTGTCCTGAAATGCAAATATAAATGATCATCGTCATGCACTGTCAAAAATACTAACGAATTATAATTATTGCTAAGATGGACAGAAGAGCTATAATTTAAACTCTTAAACGTGTAAGTAAGGGGAAGTAAATTACCCTTTAAAATTCTAACCAGAAAATCAATTACATTGGAATAAAGAAGAGATTTCCTTTCATCCATGGTATACCTGGTTCTGGGGATAGAAGACAACTTAATGCTGACATAGTTGAGGGTATTAACATGTGAGGAAGGACTAGTGTTGTGGTGCAGTAACTTAAGCCACTGCCTGCAACATTGGTATCCTATATGACTGCCAGTTTGAATCCCAGCTGCTCCACTTCCAATCTAGCTCCCTGATAATATACCAGGGAAAGCAGTGGAAGGTGGCCTAAGAGCTTGAGCACTTGATTCGCACGGGGAGACCCGGATAAAGTTCCAGGCTCCTGGCTTTGGCCTGGTCCAGCCCCAACCACTGTGGACATTCGGGAAGTGAACCAAGAGATGCAAGATCTCCCCTCCCCTCCCATTCCCTCCCCACCACTTCTCCTCTTCCCCCACCATCTTTGTGCATGTGTGTGTGTGTATCTAACTCTGCCATTCCAAATAAATAAAAATAAATCTAAAAAAATGAGGAAACAGTTTCCAAAAGCAGGGCTCTTCCACTAAGGCATGTATTGACACGTAACCTAGGAACAGAGGAGTTAAATCTGTTCAAAGTGGCATTGGGGGCAGGTGGCATCTGACTGAAGGGAGAGGTACATACTCTCTGGTGATACAGAAGAACCAGAGCCTTTCACAGTAATCACAGGGTTTGTGGTACATGTTCTGGACTGTGGGACCAGGTTTCAGCTTTAACCACGGCTGTGCCTTAGGACAAAGGCAGGACATAAGAAAAGCTGGTACCACATGAAATGGAAGCCTAGAAAACGATGTGATGAAACCAAAGACCTACAAAAAAAGCATCGTGCCCCCAAGAGAAATACCATGGATAAGTAGCAAAACATGAACAGCACTAATCAATTTCTTAGCAAGTTATGCACATCTGGATGTCAAATAGTCCCGCCTCTGTGTTCCAGCACCGCCCCTTGACCCACACCACCAAAAGTCCCAGAAGGACTTTCGGCAGTGGCCAACGTCTACCTATTTGCCCCATCTTCTTCCTCAAGGCAGTAAGAAAGAACCTGAAAAGTGGCAACTCGATTTTTTTGATCTTTCAGAATACAACCCAAGTGTCTCACCTTGGCCTTACCAAGTCCAGTGCATAATTCAGCACTGTTCCCACCAGGCTTTCCCTCACATTGATTCCCTCTGCCCATGTTAGTTCTCTCCTTATCCCCCGAATCCCTGAAGTTACCTCCTAGCAGTCTGAGCGTGGTGCCTGGAATCCTGATTTCCGAGGTTCATCTAGTTTCCTCTTCCACTTTACGTGGCCTCTTCGCAAGCATTGAGACCCTCAGAGGGGACATCTCTGGCCACACTACTAGAAATACAAGCCCACAACCCAAACAGCCACCCGATACCCTACTCTGCCTTTTACTTGACAGCCTTCGTCAATATCTGAAGATGCATATCCATAGAAATATGTGTGCCTATGTGTTTATATATGGATAACACATAGTTTTAACGTCTGTTTTACTTTTATTATTGGCTGCTTCGTGTCTGAAACCCAGTCAGAAAAGCAGAGAACTTCTTGGTCATAGTAAGTGCTTCATTAAATTAGCCCTAATTACCACCAATTTTTTACGAGTTTTTCACCCACTGTGCTCCAATTCAGTGTAACATTTTAATTATAATTTGTCTTTCATTGAGTTTCCCACAGGGGAAAAGTAACTTTATTTTGTAATGTTGTAAATAGATAATTAGTATTTTGTTTCCTATGCATTGCTGTGTTCTCTTGGTTGAGACCCTTTCCTGAAGAGGGTTCCATACTGTAAGAAAGGAAAAGACAAGAACAAGTCCCTTTGGCAACTTCTCGACAGCTAATGATCTGGTCTGAGCAAGACCGGAGTCTACTCTGTCAGCATCACCATTGTAAGTCATGTAAATTTACTCACAATTCCCTGTCAGTAGGAAGGAGGGAATTATATGATCAGATGTTTTTTGTTTGTTTTTGTTTTTTGACAGGCAGAGTGGACAGTGAGAGAGAGAGACAAAGAGAAAGGTCTTCCTTTGCCGTTGGTTCACCCTCCAATGGCTGCCACGGCCGGCGTGCTGTAGACGGCGCACTGCGCTAATGATCAGATGTTAACTATGAAGAGATGCAACTTTTTGCAGAGAACTTTCTCTTTGCTTTTTCTTTTTTAATTGTGGCTGACTTTGACCCAGAGGTGATGAAGACTGCCATTTTTAAAAAACATTCAAGTACTATAACCACCTTTTAATCCAGACATGTTTGCAAATGTCAAAGACCTAACCAAGTGCCTTGGTAGAGATGAAATCTCTCAATCCTTATTAAAATCATGTTGCATGGGTGATGGCAAAAGAATAAAGCCTGTTCTAAAACAGTTTTCTGATGTCATATTAGTACTTCATTACAACTGCCTGAAACCAAATGAAGGCCAGAACTCCTATCAGACACAAAATGCAGTGACTCCATCTCCACAAAGTTGAAATTCATACCAAGGATGAAAGGTCATCCCCAGGCAAAGTGCAGCGTATTTCACTGAAACATTCAAGGACTAGTTTGGCCCTCTCAATTTCCAAGAATAGTAAGGCTATTTCCCAGCTCCTGACAGACTTGAAATTGCCATGGCTTTTGTTGGGGCCATCTCTCATTTTTTGTAATTCAAGAAATATCTATGTCAATTTCCTCACTCTGCTTCTAGCGTGTTATTAAAAGAAAAGTTATATATTTCTTCTCATGTATTTTTTATTATTTCCATAGCCTTAAATAACTCAGTCGAGTGACCACAAAATCATGATTAGATTGTCTACTGTAGTGCCTTACTCATGGAAGCTATTCATTAAATATTTATGGGATGAAAGAAAGAATAAATGATAAAAATAATGAATACATAAATTCATTGGAAATTTTAAATATGGCTTAGTCAAATATGTCACAAATAAGCTTCCTTCTTTGTACTGAGAGAGGACTAATAAGATGAGGCTGTTAGGTGATAGAATACATCATAGAGATCGGATGAATTTTGTTCCAAATGTAACTCTTGAAAATGCTTAAAATACAGTTTCTGATAATTCACCTTTTATCCTGATTCTTGGAATCACTGAATTCTTATTAATATTACAGTGGATGTAAAGGGACCAAGTAAGAGATAATTCCCTCAATGCCTTGGCCTCTAAGTTCTGTATAGTAACTAGCAGCGACATAAGGTAAAATACATATACGCACAAGGATTCCACGGGCAAGGCTGTAAGATGTGAATAAAGCAGAAAAAAAGGAAGAACATTCAGATGTAGATATAGAAGTAGGTGATCAGAAGATATCAGGAAAGTGCTCAAAATGAACAGAAAGGAGCAGAAATGGCTCTGTTCAAAGCAAAGAGTCTACACACTGTACTCTCTGCTTTTCAAAAATTTTTTCCTGCATTGGGCTGCTTTTGATGTAGCACTGTGGCAGGATTCATTGATTAGCATCAACTTAAATTACAAGGAGGATTCCTCAAAATCCTGGAAACATTTTAAGATAAATATTTCCAGCATAATATCAAAATCACTATGTAATAAACCAATCAACTAATCCATAATATTAAAAATGCAGGTATGGAGGTTCAGGGATCAATCAAACATATATTTCAACCTCATTCATTAGGTAGATTTCTGAGTGCAAATCAACTCCTTGAGCCTGAGTTATCCCACCTGTAAAATACAGATACTACTCATTCACAGGGTGGTTGTGAGGAAGAAGTGTAATTTCTGGCACAGCCTGGAACACAGGTTCTTAAGCAATGGTGGCTTGGTGTCATTATCATTTTTTCTACAATTGGCATTCTTTTATATTGTCCCATCCCACACTTAGACAATTAAACGACCCATTGCCCGGATGGGAACTTACCCACGAAAAGCTGGCTGTTCAACTGCAAGAGGACATGTCCATCAGCCGGGGCCGGCTGGGTCTTTGGCGAGAGCTGATCCACTTGGATGGAAGCCTCTTTCATGTTCCTTTCAACTCTCACGTGGTGCCACTGGTTGTCATTGAACTGGGTCGGCGACTGCACGGAGATCTCGAAAGGTCCGTTCCCCACGTCAAACGAAAAGGTCACGGCTGTGGGAGCTGGAAATGTGAGACACAAGGGTTGTTCGATGAGCTCATGTGGTGGAGAGCTGAGTCGTCACACAGTTAGCAACTGCCCCGCAGCCTATGAACCATCACACATAAGGGCCATGGTTTGATAAAGAAGTGTTGATGCAGAAGGAGACAGGTTGAGTCAGATTTGAACACCGCTCAGTTTATACATGTACGGAAACATCCTTGCCACCTCCACAAAGATAAACAATGTTTATGTATCTGTTTAAAATGTTTTCAAATGATAATGGTTTGAATTCTATGGGAAGAGGCAATGCTATCAGTGAAGAGATATGTGTTCTTATGTGTGATGACATGGTAACATACATGCATATCTTTGGGAAAAATATATATATTTTTTACAGGCAGAGTGGACAGTGAGAGAAAGAGAGACAGAGAGAAAGGTCTTCCTTTGCCGTTGGTTCACCCTCCAATGGCCGCTGCGGCCGGCACACCGCGCTGATCCGATGGCAGGAGCCAGGTGCTTCTCCTGGTCTCCCATGGGGTGCAGGGTCCAAGCACTTGGGCCATCCTCCACTGCACTCCCTGGCCACAGCAGAGAGCTGGCCTGGAAGAGGGACAACCAGGAGAGAATCCAGCGCCCCGACCGGGACTAGAACCCGGGGTGCCGGCACTGCAAGGTGGAGGATTAGCCTATTGAGCTGCAGCGCCAGCCCGGGAAAAAATATATTTTAAAGAAATTCACCTTCCCAGTAAATTTTTCATATTGATAAAGAATAAAGCTATTTAGTTAGGGCTGGAAAACTAAGAAGAACTTGGAATTTTATATAAAAGTAAATTATCACAGTGATTCAAAATTTATGTCATTTAAAAGTAGACTCTTAATAGCAGCCTTTATCAAAATAACAAGTGGTTGATTTGATTGTGATTAACTGGAAATTTTCTTTTTTTTTTTTTTTTTTTTTTTGACAGGCAGAGTGGACAGTGAGAGAGAGACAGAGAGAGAAAGGTCTTCCTTTGCCGTTGGTTCACCCTCCAATGGCCGCCGCTGCAGCCGGCGCACCGCGCTGATCCTGGCAGGAGCCAGGAGCCAGGTGCTTTTCCTGGTCTCCCATGGGGTGCAGGGCCCAAGCACCTGGGCCATCCTCCACTGCACTCCCTGGCCATAGCAGAGAGCTGGCCTGGAAGAGGGGCAACCGGGACAGAATCCGGCGCCCCAACCGGGACTAGAACCCGGTGTGCCGGCGCCGCAAGGTGGAGGATTAGCCTATTGAGCCACGGCGCCGGCTCTGGAAATTTTCTTAAAATTTTAATTAATTGAATTGCAAACTCTTCTGAAATTAGTTCTAAAGAACACCCATAACTTCCCAAATTATCTCCTAGTAAATATTTTAATTTCTTACCAAAAGGATAATATAATATAGAATTTTACTGAAAGGACATAATAAAGTAGTAGTTCAACTGATAAAGTAGAAACATAAGTATTTTAAAAATTAGATAAAGAATTTACTATCAAATCACAGAATCCCACAGTGTCCTCGGGGAAAACAGACTTACAGCGTAGTTCTATTCGAATAAAATCCGTAATCCCCAGGTTCTCTAAGAATACCCCAGATGAAGATGTCGTCTTAAAAAAGAAGGATACGTCCGCACTCAGCTCCCCATGGAAAGTAGGAAAATGAAGGTAAGAGGCCTCCGTGTTGAAGGAAGCCGAATTCCAAAATGACCCTGTTGAAGAGAAGCAGGAATCCAAAAATGAGAAAAGAAAAACAAAACTCGTGAAATAAAATGAATATCATCCCACATTTTCTACATTTATAATTTCTACCATTAACAGCGTCACTCAGCTTTTACAAGCTTTCTTCTTTTTCTGTTAAGACTGTAGTGTACAAACACCAGATTAGAGATTGTAGAGGGATTGAGATCCTGGGTTCCTTTCAGCATTACAGAAGTGGTCTGTTATGTTTTATATATGAAAAACCTACTTAGACTAAACAGGATCCACTGCTAAAGTGATCTTAAAAGGAACTTCCAAACATTGTTTAATAGCCTAATTTTTCATAATTTGAATTTTTAAAGACCCACTTTCTTTGAATAACAAAATCCAGGAAGAAGCTCACGGTGTTTTTTGTTCTAACACACACAACTCAGGGAGTCACACTCCCAACTAAGTATTTCTATTAACGGACATCAGGATTCTCTAAACTGCCCTGGCATCTAAACATTCTCATCTAACTAGAGACCAATACATACTTACTCTGTCTCTGTCGGTACGGTAACGAAAATGCTCGTTTCATTCAAAACTACTCTTCACTCAACTTAGAAGACTGCAGTAAGTGATCACAAACCCACTGGCTAAGCAGAAAATGTTTACAAGTTTGGGATATAAACGAAAAGATCTGAAAAATGTTGGGAAACCCAGGGTGCGCATTGTGATGCTGTGGGTTAAGCCTCTACTTGCAATGCCTGCGTCCCCTATCAGAGTGCCAGTTGGAACCCTGGCTGCTCTACTTCCAAACGAGCTTCCTGTGAATGCACTCTGGGAGACAACATATGACCGCAAAGTGCTTGGACCCTTGCCACCTGCGCCAGAGACCCAGATGGAGTTTCAGGCTCCCAGCTTTGACCTGGCCCAGCCCTGCAAGTTGTGCTCATTTGAGGAGGGAACCAGTGGATAGAAGACCTCTCTCTTTCTCTCTGTACTTCAAGTTTAGGAAATTAAATAAAATTTGTAAAGATCTGTAGAGTCAAAGCCATTTAAAAAATTATGTAAGACATAAAGTTAATTATAATTTCTTTCCAAATACAGCTTACCTTATTTTTCCCATCTTAAAAAATGCTAGTGACTTTCCTTTTGAAAAAAAAAATACCCTGGGTCTTTCGTAGCAGGAAGTATGAAAAATGAAAAAAAAGCCAAGAGCGTGAGCTGCCAGAGTAGAGTTCTACCTGGCCATGTGACATTGATGAGGGGAGTTACCAGAAAAATGAACTATGCATGGCTGCCGCCACCAGCAAGTCAACAGCACAGCAAACATAGCATTCTTGCTTGAAGCAGCTGCCTCCATGCACACCCCCAACACCGGACAAAATTCCCCTCTCTAAATTGCCTTCCTGGTAGAAAGATGTATTGACCCTCTGGAGTTGTAAACAACAATTTCAAAACAACAGTTCATTATGAGAGCCAAGAACAGATACCCAGCTGGTTAAAAACCACTGATGTTGACTCTGCCTCTACATGTTCCTTGGATTTTAACTCATCTTCTGTAATTCTGAACCAATCAGTACTTAAATATATTCTGGGTGTTATTTTTTTTTCTGTTTTTCTTTTGAACCTGATTCAAAAGTTAATTTTCAGCTAGGATAGGCACAATTTTGGAGAGGAATTTATTCAGCTGAGAATCTACTTTGAGGTGGCTTTTTGTTCTCTCCCACAGTCAAAAGAAACCAGATATTATCTAAGGCACATCAAGCCTATTTCTGATGTCCATTTTACAGCTATTTCTTTGCTTAGACATTCTAATCTCTAGGCAAGAATACAAGAAAACACAAAATACCAAGTCCACAATGAACACATCTGTCTTCTTCAAAGTTATTAGCTGACTTTTTTTTTTTTTTTTTTTTTTTTTTTTTTTTACTGTTCTAGATGGCAGTAGCTGTTTGAATACTCTAACACTCTAATTTATTTGGGGATGCATATGTCTGGTACTGTTCTAGGCGCTGTGGCAGCCAGAGATAGAGGTACAGTTTCTGCAAGTGTATCTAATATAGAAGCAGCTGAGTGAACAGATACGAGACAGGAAGATCAAGGTTAGGGTTTTCCAAAAGTGTTAAGGGGCAGCTGCTGCTTGAATGACTCACAGACTGGAAAGTATAAGGCCCTAGTTTTAAAGAGCAAAGAGATAAAACCAAGAGGCATAGTTGGACCAGTGATGAATTAAAAAAACAACAACAAGATTCTCATGACTGCCATATAGAGATTTGTAATACGGCTACAGTCTGCTCCTGGAGGGACAAGTTGGTACGTGAAGGGAAGATGCTAAACATCTTCAGGGAACCGCTTAAGCGAAGTGCTGTAGAGGACGAGCGTGGGCATCAAGTGCTGCGGAGGAGTCTACAGGGACTTCAACATGAAAGTTCAGGAGTTGTGCTGAAGCCCATGTATATCTTTTTTTTTTTTTAATTTAGTAAATATAAGCTGACCTACTTTTAGAAGGAATTGGACGCCTTTCTTTTGAAACATTATATATGAAAATTAAGCTAAGTCTGTAAACTAGGGAATATTAAGTGTTACTTGTGTGATTAGAACAGGAACCTTCCTAATTAAGTAAATACTTAAATTAGATACAATCACCTTTAAGTACAACATTTCACGTGTTTCATATTAAAACTAACTTATGGCCGGCGCCGCGGCTCACTAGGCTAATCCTCCGCCTTACAGCGCCCACACACTGGGTTCTAGTCCCAGTCAGGGCGCCGGATTCTGTCCCGGTTGCCCCTCTTCCAGGCCAGCTCTCTGCTGTGGCCTGGGAGTGCAGTGGAGGATGGCCCAAGTCCTTGGGCCCTGCACCCCATGGGAGACCAGGAGAAGCACCTGGCTCCTGGCTTCAGATCAGCGCGGTGCGCTGGCTGCAGCGTGCCAGCCGCGGCGGCCATTGGAGGGTGAACCAACGGCAAAGGAAGACCTTTCTGTCTCTCTTTCTCTCACTGTCCACTCTGCCTGTCAAAAAAACAAAAAACAAAAGACAAAAAAACAAAACAAAACAAAACAAAAAAAAACCCAAACAAAACTAACTTACAGAAGGCTTCATGGAACTGGCTGAAACTGAGAAACAAGTCTTTGAACTGCTGCTCTCTGTACAATGAATGCTTCCACAGTAATGAAAGCATTGTTACTTTAGGTAGTTAAAACACTCTCACACATGTAATAATATCTATGCTGTTTAGCTAGCCAACTTTATTTTACAGTTCCACAGCAGAGAGAAAATGAAGTAAAGACTTTTCTTGAATTGCGACTAATTTGAAAGAATTTTAGGGCCTGCACCGTCTCAGAGGGAGGAAGAGGCAGAACAGAGCTCCACAGGCAACAGCAGAAGGTGGTGCAGGTCCTTAGCAGAGTGGGTTGCATGGATAAGGTATGTAAAATGCCGCCAGCTACACCAGGAGCAGAACTGAAGGCAGGACTGTGCTGTGGGCTTAGTGAGTAAAGCCGCCACTTGCAGTGCCAGCAGCACATATGGGCACAGGTTCCAGTCCTGGCTGCTGCACTTCCGATCCAGCTCCCTGTGATGGCCTGGGAAGGCAGTAGAAGATGGCCCAACTCCTTGGGCCCCTGCACCCACGTGGGAGACCCGGAGGAAGCTCCTGGCTCCTGGCTTCGGATCGGCCCAGCTCCAGCCAATGCAGCCATTTGGGGAGTGAACCAGGGGATGGAAGAATTTTCTCTCCCTCTCTGTCTCTGTCTCTCTGTAATTTGATCTTTCAAATAAATAAATAAATCTTTAAAAAGACAAATTAACATCAAGGGAATCAGGTGCCCTGTTATTATCCCAACAAAAACCAACCATGGAGGATCATTCTAACTAGTGAGTAATCAATAAAATCATAATCGGCATATATTCTTCAATTAAATTCAATGCAGGGTACTACACGTTTAAAATTCCTTTGGGACTGCCTCCAGAATTAAAAAAAAATTCTACAACAGGATCCACATAGTTATCCACATGATGGAAGAAGATGTACTGACTATTTAATTCCATATATAATATAAAAAACAAAAACCCCAATTTGGGAAAGCTAATATAGTTTTCAGTTAAAATTATAAGTGCTTTTTAAAACATTGTTAAAGTTTTATTTAGCTCATTGATAGAATAGCCATCCTAATAGATTTGCAGAGACAGAAGGTAGGTTAGTGGTTTCCTAGGGTTGGCAGACAGACGCGGCCACTGAGGAAGAGTGGTTACTATAGTCTTTCCCTAAAGTAAATGTTAAAAATATATTGAAATGCTGATGTGAGCGACATTACAGCAGCAAATGCATCTTCAAAATTGTTATAAACCACTGGAAGTCAACAGGAAAATACAGATTTTAGCAGAAATAGTTTTTTTTATTTATATAAAGGGAACAAATTTCATGTATTACACAAACGCAGTTCTAAGAACATAATGATACTTCCCGTCCTGCCCTCCCTCCTTCCCTTAGTACCATATTTTTCCTTTCATATTTTTATTTTAATATTTGCAATGACATAATTTCAATATACTTTATAATCACTACCTGAATCCTCCATGAAATAAAGAATTCAACCAGTAGTGAGTAGAAAAACCAGTGTTCTTTGGGAGTGTAGACAAGAGCTATAAACAACAAGGAAATCTCAGAATGTCAACCATCACTCATATACATTACTTTTTTCTACCCTATATATCAGTTACCACAAATCAGAGAAAACACATGATATTCGTCTTTTTAGGACTGGCTTAGAAAGATTAATTACATGCTACATTATCAGAACATGAAAGCCAATGTATTGGTTTTATAATTCACGGCTTTCTCTTTTCAGCACTTCCATTCTTGTTTTCAACCATTTATGAACCTCAACAGGAGTCAATACCAGCAAAATAAAAATGAAATCTGGTGGGAAATAATTAGGTTGTGCATAGTGTATCAGAATAAAAGACAACAAAGCTGTTGCCAGCTGTTTTCATAGAGCAAACTGTCCCCTACCCCACAGA